AATGGCAACTTTTTTACAAAAATAATTTTTTCAACTTAATTTTTGAAAATGTTCCGGAAAGACTGCGTCCTTTAAACATATATCAAATTAAAGCTTATTTTATGTACTACAAAATGAAAAAAAAAAATTTTCCCGACACTTTTTTTTCTACACTTAAACGGCAACCGTAGTTAAAAAAACACTATTTTTGTGTTAACATTTTCGATTTTCGATTTTAAATTTTCAACTTAAAAATGCTATAACTTTTTGAAAAATGTATATATCAGCACAAATTTTTTTTTTCTAAATACATTATAAGTACATCTTTCATTTGACATACTTTTTATTAAAATTGGACAATTTCCCCTTATATAGGGGGCGTTCAAAACTTAAAATATTGTAAAAAACATAGATCTTTTTCAACTGAACTTTTGAAAATGTTCCGGAAATACTGCGTCCTTTAAACATATATCAAATCAAAGGTTATGTTATATACTATCAAATGAAAAAAAAAAATTTGTCCCGACATCTTATCTTCTATGTGCAAATGACTGTCGAAAATTTAAAAAAAAATGTAATGTTTGGGATAAAAATTACATTTTATCGGGATGTTTTTTGTACTTATAACTGCCATAACTTTTTCAAAAATGAACAAATAAAAATAATATTTTTTTGTATTGAAACCTTAGATATTTCCCTTTCATTTGATATAATTTTTTTTGAAAATCTAACACTTATTCTGCTCACTGGGAGGATTTAAAATAGTAACTTTTTTACAAAAAATAACTTTTTCAACTTAATTTTTGAAAATGTTCCGGAAATACTGCGTCCTTTAAACATATATAAAATTAAAGCTTATTTTATGTACTACAAAATGAAAAAAAAAAATTTGTCCCGACGATCTATCTTCTATACGCAAATGGCTACCATATTGAAAAATATACTATTTTTGTATGATAATTATGGGTTTTGTATTTTATTTTAATAGAAGTTGATGTTGCTTTTGCAATTATCCATCAATTTTTTAAAATTAAACACTATCTACAGATTTGCATCGAAGCGTTTCTTATGATAGTGATTTTAATCACTGTCAGATTAAATCTATACTGGACCCTACTATGCAATGTCTCCACTATGCCGCGACCCCACTGTGCTACCGTTTTTTTAATTTTAAATAATATTAGCCACGAATGATCAATTCTTATTATATAAAGTTAATGGTTAATTCTATATTTTATTATATTGTCTTTGTATTAAACAAGTTGTGTTATGTTAATTTGATTTGGCCTAGATTTCAAGCGTAGTACTTTTAGTTGGGTAGTTAATGTTTTTTTATTTTTTTTATAAATTTTAAGTAAAAAAAAATAATAATATATTTTTTGTAAAATCAGAATTAAGTAATTTAGAAAATAATTTTGAGTGGATACCTTACTTTAAGGGCTGAAAAAAAATACTTATACCTAAAACATAAGACTGAAAAGATTAAAAGCTTAAGTCAATTAATACCGACAAGGATTTACCATGAAAATCACACTTTCCCTATTACGTGTAGATTAAGGTGTAGAGTAGGTCGAATATAATGACAGACCAAACGAACAGCTTCTAAGTAAGTCCAAGACATAGATTCTTTCGGTTGATATGGTAATGGGTATTATTTAATACATTCATGTTTACACCGTTTGATCTTCCTTTCTCTATCCTTGAAAATTTTGACGAGTCTTTCCGTTAGTTTTAACTTGAGAAGATGAGTTTGGGCGTTTGTTTTGAAGAAAACGCATCCGATATAATATTAACTATAAAACTGACCTTGGTCCTTAAAAATAGAAAAATCCCAAAGAAATAAACTGACAGTAATTATAAATTATTATTCTTGTTTTTTACCAATACGATATACAAGTATAATAATATCTTGCTTATTATGTACGATGCATTTATTTTAAAAAGTTATTCATGTTGAAATATTATTAGAAAATTATTTAAACAGACATTTATAAAACAAGTTATTATTTGACCATTAATTACAAAACTCATTACTGATAGTTAATAAATATGAAATTAACTAACATATCAGAAATGCATTAGTCTTCCAATTAGTTTCTAATAAACAAACACTACATAACAATTGTGAAGCAACTCAATGTCACAATCTTACCAAGTGAAAAAATCATTGTGAGTACTTCAAAGTTCATAAAGTTTTACTTATATATATATAAAAATGACTTATTTTTAATACAATTAGTAAAATCAAGACTGTTTAAATAAAATACAATTGAGAAGAAGATACAAAGGGGTCTAAATTTAACGTATTTGCTAATCTCATATCATACATTAAGAAAATTAATTTTGGTATTTTTTAGTTTCATATATTTCTTAATTTATCAGTTTTTAATTACTTCTTTAATTCATTCCTTCACTTTAAAAAGACGCCAACTAAATTATTTTAAATGGCAACACATTTTTATCCAACTAACAAAATTAAAAATTATTTTATTAAGAAAATGACAATAACAAAATATCAAAAACAACTTTAGAGTCTGTACCTCGAAAGTTTTTAACATTTGTATACCTAGGTGAGATAAGAGGTAGGGCTAAAAAATGTCTATAATAAATATTGTTATACCAGCGTCTTTCCTCTAGATTATATTTTAAAATGGCAATAATTTCTAAAATAATGGGACAAAAGTTGTTATCGGGCAGACATTTAATTAGATGATTTTTTTAATTTTATAAGCTAATTAAACATGTATGTTACCATAAAAAAATAAAGTTTACATCTTTATAGGTTATAAGGGATGAATAAATAGGTTAATAATAATTAGAGTTTGGGACTTTATACATTTATAAAATGTATAGTCATTTGGACCATTTCTGATAGTCACCCAACTCCATGAAAATTTATTATAAATATGAACAGTATCACAGGAATTTAATTTGTTTATGTAAAAATAAAGTTGACTTCCATATAAGGTATAAGGAATAAACATACAAATACTTTATGATTAATAAAACTAAAAAGTTTATACATGTTCTCATTAAGTTATTTTAATTCGAAAAGACTTGATTGTAATTATGAAATGACAATCTAATTTTCAATTTTTGGTTTATTAAGATTTGATAATATCATTTTTATGTTTACATTACTAATATTAAAAATTAATTTATAGTTAGTACAATCAATATAAGTTGTTAGATATGGATCACTATTATTGAACTAAAATATTTTTGGTTTTACTATTATAGGATCAACTCCACCTCAAATTTATAACTTTAATTATGAATAAGTATTATTTTCCCTTACCTCGGGTATAAACTATATCTATTACTGATAGACAAGTTGATTATTTATACAAGCTAACGTTCTTTCAAAATTAAAAATACTATTAGAAGACAGTTTGTCGTTATGCAATTGAAATTTATCATTTAAAATTACAGATTTTAATCAATGTCACGGTGTTTTTAAAATAATTTTTTGTGTGGTGATTTCATATCACGTTGATATTCCTATTAAATGAATTTTAAATAATTACTTAAAATAATATGCGTGTCTAAAATATACAAGTCTTACGAAAACCATTTACAATCTTCAGGTCATCAACCTTTCAGACAAACATTTTCAAAATTTTAATCTTACAACATATCATGTTATTTTATAAAAAAATTTATTGTATAGACACTATAAATAAAGATATCAGCCTTCAAAAGATATTTTTAAAATTTGAAAATATTTTTGTACTAGTAATGTTAGAAAGAAAAAAAAATTACTCCTTGAAATAAAACGTATTTTCAATTTTGAAGGAGTTTAATTTCTCTTCCCAATTACTATAGTAATGTTGTATCAATTAAAATTTGATGATTCATTGTATATTTAATAAACATTTTTAAAGCAAATGTGATAATTTAATAATTAAAATGATTATTATTTTGCACAAAACAGGTTTTATATATTATTCATAGAATCTATACAAAATTTTTTTATTTATTTAATATGGATTAAAACAGCATACATTGTGTACATATTTGCTTCACATACGAATAAAACAATAAAAAATTTATTATTCACATTCAGTGTCAAAAAGAACAAGTTTCGATATTTTAGTAAAAAGTTATTTAATTAATCTTAAACGGCAAATCATTTTTTTTCAGCATGGTTAGGGGTAAAACATTTTTACCAAGTAATAGAATAATTTGTAAAAATAATGAGAAGTTCTTGGCAAAAAATAGCTTTCATCGGTGGCGGACTAAGACGCTGCTTCTTTTTATATGTACTATATTCATCTCGGAGTTCTACATAAGCTTTAATTTTAAGATCCTGCTAAATCCAGCTCCTTTTTTATCGATAGAAATAGACCCATGTACCCTGCTCATGGATAAATTTTAGGCCATCAGTCAACATCAAGTTTTAAGCCCGTTTCGTTAGATTTTTTTACTTGATTTATAATTTTATTCAAAACTAATTTTCTTCCTTTATAAAAAATATTTTTAGGACAATAAACACTGTTTTTCTTATTTTTGGGTAGGCTAAATTTAAACTGAAAAACATTTCCATCCAACATCTATGACACACACGCATATAAATATATTTAGTAATGAGAGACCGTATAGAGTATAGACCCCCAGTACCAATCACTAATTGGTAATTTAACCAAATAAAGTAATTTCATTACTAGAAGATTGAATTTATTTAATTAAAAAATAAACAAGTTTATCTGTCTTAAGAAAATTACGAATAAATCGATTTTTAATTTACTAGGTTAGAATTTTCAAGTATTATCAGTTTTTGACCGCAGGTATGCAAAACGTCAAGACAGCATGGAAGCCCAAAAAAATCTATTGTTTCGTATTTCTAATGTGTTCATCAATAATAATAGAAAATTAATTCGGAAACTGCCTTAAAGGAAGTTTATAAAATATAATTAACAAAAAGATTTTATTCGAGCACACCATCTAGATTGAATAACAAAAGGTTTATAGGATACCAGAAGTTGATGGTTAATAATTACAAAACCAGCACTACTATGTCCTCATTTTGTTAATATTGATACTTTAATAGTAATAGCTTAGTACAAACTTAAATATTATTTAAAAATATACATAAAATAAAATGGAAAAAAATCACAAAAAGTATAAAATTGAATAAATAAATAATATAAAATTAACAAGATCCACAAGTGAGTCTTTGTACGTGGTCAGCTTTATACTTTGATGGTCTTATGTAGCCTAGGTACTGTAACTCATTAACAGCTTTGACAAAACGTGCTCTAAACAGTTATTAAGGAAAAATTATTTATTTCTAAAATTTAGAAATGTTTTGATACAAAATAAGCAGGGACATCATAAAGCAATTTCAAGTAGTAGACAAATTAATTTTATCGAGGTGATTTTTATTGGCATTGAAAAATGTAATTGTTAAATTGAAGTATACATTTTTTTTTTTTTTGACAAAAAAATTATTAAATCGAATTTTTTTATGGTGAACATAAACTATTACTGAAATGTCAAGTACAAAATTGATAAATGGTTTTGATTTTTTAAAAAAAATAGCTTCTATGACTTCCCTTGAATTTAAGATTTGTATATATTAAAATTAAAAATTTAATTTTTAATTTTAAGGTTAATTTTATTCTTTAATCTTTTGTTTGGAAATACTTTTAATTAACGAAAAATTACACGTTTTATTCATTATGAAATAATTAAAATTACAAATTTTATCCGTAATGTGTTGAGTTCAATTATAACAGTATGATGAAATTGATTACTTAAGTCTGTTTTCTTTATCATTAAGTAGTCAAATAGTCTTTAAATTGAATATCAAAATTTAGTAATATAATGTCTAATTTTTTGTATTAGCTTATAATTTAGTTAATAGCTTTAAGATAGATTTAGTTATGGACAATTCTTAAATATATAAAAGGATACTGTAATTCTGGGTTAATATCATTATCATCTTTTTCATCACACTGATTAGTAGATACCACCGATAGGAATTTCTATAACAAAAAAAAAAAAAAAAAAATGATTATTCAACTATAAGAATATAGAAATAAAATATTATAAAATTAAAATCGAATTATGTCTAGTAATATATATTAAAATTATTAAACAAACCTAAAACTATTAAAAATCGACTAATAAAACTTGTTTAAGCTACTATTATTACTTATGATCTAAGATGATGTTCTCTTCTTCTTTTTCCTCGCCTTTATCCCAACTACTTGGAGTCGGCCACCCTTATCCTAAACTTTCATTTGAGACAATTTCCTACATCATCTATGCATACATCAGCCGTCCTCATACAGTATTCAACAATATTCCTCCATCTCTTTTTTGGTCTTCCTCTACCTCTTCTACCTTTTTTTTTTTTTTTTTATCGGTCGGCATTATTGTGGTCCACCTTGGAACTGCCGTTAGGCATTACTTCAGGACGGCCCACGCCGTCTATATAATTGACGTTGTGAATCAGCCCGAAATTAATCAAGAGCAGATTCCCAACGTGGTGTGACCCCTCTCCCGTTTACCGGATCTCAGAGTGGGAACCGTTATGGAGGGTGAGCAAAATAACTCACAAAACTAAAACAAGAACCTAAGGCACCGGCCTAAACCAGCGCCTCAGGTCCTCCTGTGCCGAGCGGCGTGGCTGCCTCTGTCTCAGATGTTCCGCTTCCTCCTTCTTTTTCAAGACGGATTCAGCGAACGCCTGAACGAGCCTCCATACTTCCCGGCTCCTCAACATCAGGTCCACCATGGACCCGACTTGGAACGTGGACCCTAGTCAGAACTCCAAAGAGTCTCGCAATGGAAGAGGATGTACAGAGCGCTGTCAGCCTCTCCCAGGCGATCCAAATAGTGGTCGCACGTCGCCGCAGCTGCTTTGCAAATACGATGTAAGTACTCGTTAAAGCAGCCGTGGCCGGACATAACTTGGGTGAGATAATAAGTCATCTCACCATGAGTCCGGTCCAACCACCTCATTTACCTTCAATATTAATTTCCATAACTGTTATTTCTGCTTCCGATTCCTCTCTTTCCATAATATGACCAAACCATACAAGTCAATTTTCTCTCATCTTATTAATAATTAACATTACAACTATACTTCTTCTTATATGTTTGTTCCTTATCTTATCTTCTCTAGTTACTTCAATTATCCATCTAAGCATTCTCATCTCTGCTACATTCATTCTTTGCTCTATTCTTGTATCAATCTTCCAACACTTTGAACCATACAACGTCGCTGGTCTGACTACAGTCTTATAAAACTTACCTTTCAGCCTCACTGGAATTCTCTTATCAAATAATACACTAGACGCTTCTCTCCACTTCAGACAAATCAGTTGATAAAATATTCTTTTCCAAAATTTAGGAAAAGATATAATAAGAATAGATCACTTGTGATCAATATTATTTAAAATTATGTTTATTATATACAAGTTTTTTTCAGGGTTGGAGTAAATATATTTAGCTGCTTTTGAACATTTTTTTAGTTGTGTCTATGAATTATATTCATTCTTCTTTTTCCTCGCCTTAATCCCAACTACTTGGGTTCGGCCAACTTCTTTAACTGTGTAACTACTTTCTTTCCTCTCACTTGTTGTTCCCGCGTACATACCAGATGGGAAAATCCACTTAAATTTTGTTCAGGACTTCTCATACTTTTTGGAAAAAATTTTATACCAGCTGTTGAACCTGACATAACCTCATCAGTTGCCTCTTACGACTGGCAAAGGGGCCGTAGAAGTGTTCTTATCCCTTATCTACAGGAAGATATGAACTATCTATATTCATCATGAATATAATATTACATTATAATTTTTATACTATTTAAATATCATATTATTACTTTATGTTTGGCATGATGCATTTATCATTAAATTACACATAAATTTGACATAGAAAAATTATATTTAAGAAATCACATCAAGTTAAAATTGAAATTTTATTCATTTTAAGAGTATATTTATACTTATTTAAAAATATAATCAAGTGCGTATTTGATCACTTGTTATTATACGTTTTATGAGTTTTTAGAAGCATATTTCTTAAGTTTTCAGTGCACATGGGCATACTTATATAATGTATTAAATTAACGGCCCTAATAATAATAGGTTAAAAAATTGCTTGCATACAATGATTTCAATGAAATTCATTTATTTATATTCTTTGCTGAAAAATTTTCTTTGGATTGACTTAACACATTTAAATATCATATCACACAAAACAATATTATTGTATTTTATAATTATTATTTTAATTAATTAAAATAATGATTAAATTTAATAAAATATTAATTAACTGTGTAATATTTAAATTAACATACTTGAAGCCAATCATACATATTTATCTGATCAAATCTAGATTCTAAATGCAATTTGTAAGCAATACACACATCTGGCATTGTTGGTAATACTTGATCCATGAATTCTAATTCACAACAATCACACTACAATATAAAATTTAATTACCAATTAACCAATTAATAGAAGGTAAATAAAAGTTTATATTAGTGTCATTGTTTACATCAATATAATGCTGTGGATTAACTAGAGCTGTATATTGAGCTGCTCTATCTTCTCCAACTATTTTGCGTTTAACTGATGGTAAATCGTCAAATATCATCAGTTCGTGTAATGGCAATGAAGTTGGGGGAATAAGAAATGGCCTTAAAATATTAGAAGTTAAGTGATCCAACGTTTCCTTTCGTACTTTTTCAAATTGTGTCTTTGGCTTAGCATCTTCATGCTTTAAATTATCAATAAGTTTCTAATCATGTAGTATAACAAAATTAAAATATAGTAGTTCCTAAATATTGTTAATTAATTTTAAATTTTACTCTTTTAAATTGTGATCTTGAAATTGCCTCGAGATTTTCTTTAGGTTTTTCGGTATCATTAAGTTTTTCTTTCTGGATTACAATTTCACTCAATAGAGAATTTTCAATGTTTTTTATGTATTCTTGTACAAACTTAAATGCACTTTTTGCTTGTTTATTATTAGCGACATTCTTTAATACATCACTTATCTTAAAAGTTAAAAGATATTTTATATATTACAAACAAAAAAAATTAAGCTTTAACAACTAAGTCAATTAAAATAAATTTAAAGAACTTTACTAGTTTGTAATATAAAAATATTGGGTTCAAATTTTTAGTTTACCTTAAGGTAAAATTTCAAGTGACTGATATTTAGAAAATATTGATAAAAAAAATATCATTTTAAACTTACCTGATGAAATTTTAAAAGCAAATCATCTTTTGATAAAAAATTTAGTAGCTGTATAGAAGTCTTAAAAGACTGATCATCAACTATGTGTTTTTTCATAGCATAACAGTACATTTCTCTAAGCTAAAAAATAAATACTTGTATTAAAAAAATCAGGTTGATAAATAAAATTTTACTTGAGTTCCTAAAGGTGTTTGAGGTAAATCATGCACTAAAACTTGAAGAACGCGAAGGCCAATATGAAAATCTGATATACAGTTTTTCAGTTCTTGAACTAATTTTAAAAAATTTTGCTAACAATCAAAATAAAATTAATAGCTAATAATTAAACTTATAATAAAACAAAGTTTTACTTTGAAATCTTTATCAATTTTTAATTTATAGTTTACTGATCGCAACTGAACAACATCTTTAAAAATATTTTCATCCAATGAGTTAAGTAAAGTTTTCTGAGCAGAACTATGAGCAATAACAATGCAATTAAATGGTTTATCATATAAATGTTCTATTAGACAATACTAGATAAAAAGTAATAAATAATTATTTATTAATTATATGAAAATCAAAATTATATTTAATTTGTCACCTTAAGACTTTCCACAAATTGTTTAATAGAAAAATTATAATACAAAAATACTTCAGTCATATATTCTAATATCCGACCACCTAAGAAAAATGAGCAATCTGGCTTTAAAAACACCTAAAAAATATTATATTTATAACAATCGTTAACTCACAATAAATTTTAAAATATTTTCAGATTTTTTAAATAAATATTTGATGTAAAATAAAACAAACCTGATCCATGATATTATTTAAAAATACGACTGATGCTTCACTAATAAACACTTTAACTTTAAGCTTAGTTACTATGTTATGTGGCAATGCATTATGTAAATTAGAAATTGAAGTAGCAATGCCAATTGCTAATACTATAGGAAGTGTTTGTAAATAAGAACTAAAAAACATAATTAAATTTTATTTATTTATTTTAGTTATTTAAAATACATAATTTATTAAAAATTACATTGGTAGTATACTAAGGTATTGGAGTAAACCCAATCCATCCCAATAAGAAAATGTTAAATTATTAATTGTTAATTAAAATAAACAATAGTAATACGTTTTTGAGAAGGGATAAGAATCAAAATATATTCTAAGGTTTTAATAAAGTTACAGATAAAATATGATTAAGATGAGATGGATAAGTGTGTTAAATGGATATTTTGACTTAATACTATTCATAATTATTCATTAGAAGAAATTTTATTAAAGTGTTATGTTGTCCTCTTTCAACTGTTCAAATTTTTATGCTAGGAACCTTGTAAGGTATAGTTATTGAGAATCATGTAATATAATCTTTTATTACTTGGTTATAAATATATATAGTCAATTACTAATTTTTTCTAACTAAATTTTATCATTTTAACTAAATGATTAACTACACTAACTTTATTGTATATATTATTACTCATTAATTTAATAATATGAAATAATATTATAATTTATTAAAATACAATTTCACACTTGCCCCAGAACATTTATATATCAAGGTAAGTGGTAAACCAGTTGTGTACATTTTAGTAATGTATAATATTTAAATTTGTACCATTTAAAAATTATAGTTTATTATTATGAACTAATCAATTAAAAATGTCAAAAATATCAGTTAAACATGAAATATGAGTAATTGACATTGACTTTAAAAAAACTCATAACTTTTAAATTAATTTATTTTTTATTTGTGTCAAATAAATTATATGATCGTGTAGAATAACCCACTTAAATCTTTAAAAAAATCGCTTTTGCTCCTTTATTCAGGTAAGTGTGATCCTCATCTTTTTTTTACTTTAAAAAGCACTAGATAAATGAATTTTTATCTATTTGAACTATTCAGTATAAATGCAGGTATTCTATTAGTTTATATGTTATATATGATAATTATTTAACAGAGGAGTAGTACACAATCATTTTATGACCATTAAGGTAAAACGAAAAAAAACACACATACTATATAGTATACCACACTACTTCAACTTACCTGAGTAATAAAATAAAATTTTGAAGAACATTTAGTTGACACATTTCAAAATCTTTAATTAAAATTGCTATACGAGTACTATCTAACTGTTGATTGTACCATTCAGTTAAAGTAGACATTGAACATTCTGATCTTTTTATAACAGGGGTAATATCACTATCGCTTTCATCGGAATCATCTAACTAACAATAATAGTATTTTTATTTAAAATAATATAATAACTTTTAAATAATGTCCATTAAAACACATACTTTTGAAGCATTGTGTTGGGTGTTAAGTAATTGTGAAACCATACTTGTAACTATATTTTTAACACTAGTAAAGTTTTCAGCTGTTAATATAGCTGATACAACAGGCGTTTCAGATTTTCCTAAATTACTAGCTAACATGTCAAATAGAGATTCATGATCAGGTAAATTTACACCTAATAAATAAACATTAATTTATTTTTTATTAAACATTATTGAATAAAATTAATTAATTATTATTATAATAATTCAGTTTGTATAAATCACAAACAACAAATCAGTATTACAGAATTCAGCATTTTTTCTCACAGTATAACAAAGGTATTCTAAATGACCTGCATCTATTTTTGTATTCATTGGAGAAAATACTACTGTGTCAAATTAAATAGTGAATTTTCTTATATTTTTTATGATGTAAAACCAAGAATTCATCAGTTTCACTCAAATGATGCATTATACTCAAATAATGTTTCTTGTTAATAATTTGACTTGGAAAAAGAAATTCAAAATGCACCACACATTAATAAAAAAAAATTTTAACATGACTTTGACTTTTAAGCAACTTTGACATGGTTTTTTCGGTTTTGACTCACGTTTGGCACAATATTTACACTTTTATCCTGAACTCGTTGTACCACTTGTATAGAGTCTTTGAAGACAGAGTCCCTAAAATCTTTCTACAACAAATGCTGCCACAAACAAAATTTAATATAACTTTATTGTTAAATAAATTCATACATAGTAAAAATCGCAGATTCACTTTTGGCATCTCTCAAAACAAAAGGTATCTCAAACACTAACAAATGTTTTGACATAAATTTCGGTACAGATGTCACTAACAGTACTACCAAGTTATGGAAAAATATTTACCAATTGGGAAAATTCGAGAAATTTAAATTAAAAATTCACTTTTCTATTTGATTACAGTAGTATTTCAAATAAAATAAAAAGCTTTCCACAAAAAATTAAAATATATATTATTATGAATTTTTCAGGAATTTTATTTTAACATTTTTAAATGTTATAAAACAGTAATATTTTGGAATAAAACATTTATCATTAGTACAGAAGGCAGAACTCAGTTTTCTATATTTATTTCATACTCAATACCAGCCTTAGTTATGATTGACAAGAACGTTGGTACAGGGCACTAAAATTTAAAGGGCAGTCTGGAAAATTTTTTTTTACATTTTATGATATTTTGAAGAATTGAGTATGTTTTTTTAGTCAAAAAAAAAAAATAATAATAATAATAATTTTTTTTTACAGGCTGCCAAAATAATCCTTTCAGAAAAAGGATTATTTGAAATGAAAATATGTAAATATGCTTCTGATTTTTACAATATTTGTAACAAATTAAACTTTAACATAAATATAATTGTTCAATGTTAAAATTTATTGGTTATAAATATATAAATATTTTAGACCGGTTAAACTCTAAAAATAAAACTATAAGACTTATTTAATAAAAATATAAATATTTTTTATATAAAAAAAACTTCAGGATCATTTTTAGAGTTTATATGAAAACTAAAATAATTTAAAAAATTTAAGATTACATTTTAAATCAGCACAAAAAATTTATTTACATTATAATTTATATACTACTTTTAGCATAATTAATAGTTAAATAAAACAAAGGGTGTTGTGTGACACAATAGATCAATCAGTTGCTGCCTTAGCACAGATTTTTAGCTACATTGGTTTCTAGATACTTCTATACGAGAACTTTAATAGTGATACACATTTGTATGGAGCAAGTTCATACTGTCTTCCTCAGGCATAATGAGGTTGCATCAAGTAGACGACTGGTATAAAATCATTAAGTAGAGCCTATCTATATAGTTGGGATAAAAGGGGTCAAAGCGACATTTAGCAAAAAATAAGATAATTACAAAATAATAAGTAAAATAAAAATCACAAAGAGATTTTTAAAAATATAGTGCTATTAATCTATAACTCTCTAGTATAGTAGTGTTTCTTATGATAAATATTTCACTACTAATCAATATATAAGGAAATGTACCTGGATCTGAATCATAAGTGAGTGGTGGTCTAGTAATAATGATTATTTCTAAAAGGCCTTGAGGCCTTGGGATATAATCTCATAATGCACCTTTTTTTCATATAATTTCCTTAGTATTTTTCAAGACTGACCATATAAATAAGCTGACATGTCATCCCTAAACTAACTGCATTAAAATATAGCATTTAAAATTTTTAATTTAACCATCTCAGAATCAATTTTTTATCACTTTGATTCTTCAACTCTAGATGCCTTAAATAATTACTAATCAAGAAGTGTTTTCATACAATCAAAAAATTCATCTTTTAAGATATATTTTAATACATAAAATAAATCATGAGGTAATGATTAGCAAACTCTAATTAAACAATATTATTAGTTTTAAGAAAAAAATTTAACATTCATTCTTCTTCTTCTTCTTCCTCTCCTTAATCCCAACTACTTGGAGTCGGCCATCCTTATCCTAAACTTCCACATGATACAATCTCTCACATCCTCTACGCTCACATCAGCTGTCCTCATATTGCATTCAATAACATCTCTCCATCACTTTTATGGTCTTCCTCTACCTCTTCTTCCTTCAACATTCATTTCTATAACTGTTTTTGCAGCCTTTGATTCATCTCTCCTTGTAAAAAATTTAACAATCATTAAATATATAATGTTGCAATATTTTAAATTTATAGAAAAATGAGTTAAAAACCTGTTATTAAACAAGCTGTAGGAATAACATTTTTTTCAATACAGGCATGTGACGTTGTTAAATAATCCACAGTTTCATTGATAAATTTAGAGTATATTGAGTCATTCAATTCCTATAAAATTTGAATTTAATTAACTTATATGAAATATACAGGTTATTTAGAATAGAGATCTTATAAACAATAACCATAAAATTTTTAATTACAAAGAGTATTAAAATGCATGGAATTTTTTTTTTTTAAGATAAATGATTAAATTGTTTTGTATTTGAGTACTTTTTATAATGAATTATTATTTAATAATTATTAATTATTAAGCTAAATTAGCTTGTTTTAGCTTGTATTAGCATAACTACTTTATGTATTTTGTTAAAACACTTACATCAAGTTTTGATTTAATTGTGGTCCATACATCAATATATGTGGTATGCCATAATTGATTAACTAAATTGTCACTTTTTTTAACAATTTGATTTCTTCCTTTAGATTTTCTTTTAGTGACCTTTTCACTTTTGGATTTTTTAAATACAAAACATCCCTACATAAATTGACAAAATATTACTTCATTTATATAACATATAATATATCTATCCACCACTCTTTAATATGTTGCTTAAATAAATAATTTTTTGATTATTATGAGACGAATGATAGAAATAAAATTAATTGTAGATAACAACAATTGAATTATTACTTAACCTTCGAAATTGAAACAGTCGATTTATTTGGCATTGCTTAAAATTTTAGTGATTGAAAATTTCAAAAATAGATAGTTATAAGTTATAATAAATATAAACACACTTTTTATCTTAACTATTTTTAATGTGAAAAAAAATTATTTTTATTTTTTTAATAATATTTAATTAAACTATTCATTAAAATACATTCTTTTCAACAACGAAGACTAAAAAAATTTAATTGTAAATTCACAAGGGTATAATATCAGTGATAATTGCAAAAAAGGCGGGATAATGAAATAACATTACCATAGGTTACCTCGGTCGTTCGTTTATATTTATACAATATAATATGACAATATTATCATTTTCAAACCTGTTAGTACATAGATAATAAACCACTTCATATCTTTGTGTTAATGAGCCAACGCACAACCTTAATCTGTTCAAAAAACTTAGTTAAAAATTTTACATTTATTATGATCATGTAAAACGTTATCATATTGGATAATATTTACCTTCATTTTAATTAATGGTATTTTTTTCATTCTTACAATATTAGCTACAATTTCATTTTTCATGTATTTCGTCATTACTTAGTGATTTGTTTTTGAAAAACTAAGGAATAACTTCCATGGTACGATTATAATTTATTTTTATTAAAATGTTTATATTCCCTTAATATTTGTAAATATTTAAAACATTTCAGAATTCATTCTAGTTCTTGAATAATTTAATTCTTAAACAATATGTGGCACGAAGCTAGAAAACAAGAAAAAAAAATTCGTGGTCTACTAGTAGACTATCAAAGAAGAGCACAACGAAGAAAAGATTTTTATGAAAAAATTGTAAGAAATTCCATAACCTATTAGTTTCCAATAAAACCTGTACAAAATTATTAAATATATAAATTCAATTTATTTTGTTCTTTTTTTGTGCGTGTAATTGAATACTAAAACATATTATTCTTTAAGAAAGCAGATCCTACTCAGTTTTTGCAATTACATGGTCGTCAGTGTAAAATACACATTGATCCGGGTATTGCAATTGCAGCCAACAGCCCAGCAACTATGTAAGTTTTATTCAATTATTTTTATTTTAAAAACCAGAATTTTTTGTATTAGTAAATTTAATAAATACTTCAATAAATGGTTTATAATTTTATAGGCAAAAATATGAAAATTAAATAAAAACAACCCTAGGGTTAATTGTATGAAAACTAGTTTCATTATCTTTTACTGATACTATTAATAAAACAGTAGTATTTAAATTACTTTGTAATTTGAATTTAATGTTAGATAAGTAACTATTATAAACATTTCATTAATGTAATGAATAATATATTATTTTTAAATATTTTACTAAGTTATTAATTATAATACATTTAATAAATGTATGTAATATATATCTATCTATTTATATTGATAGTATATGTAATATACTATCAACAAATATAATACAAACCAAAAATCTTTAAATAAATTTAAATCATGTTTTTATTAGTTTAATGCACACAAATGACTAAAGAAAATTTCTACAAAATTTAATTTTCCTAAAAAAGCTAATTTTATTTGGGGAATTTTAATTAATATTCCCAATGGGTTATTGACTATTTTTTTTAAATGTTCCAATTATAATTAGGGTAGACTAAAATATTTATTATAGCCATACCACTCTACTCTGAGTATTCAAATGCCGAACTTATAAAGTATTATCTTATACTAGTTTTGAACTCATCAAATTTGCTGTAAAAATCATTTTAATAAAAAAGCTATTTTGAAATTTAAAATAGTCAATAAATTCTTGAAGAACATAAATATATTTTCAAAGTGTGTGATTTTTTAATGTAACATCTATTTAAAATAACAATAACAAATGATTTAGTAAAAAAATTTTTTGTAAGTATAACATAAAAAATAAGTTTTTTGAACTTATTTAGTTGAATATTTATTAACTTTTAAAATAAAATATAATAATATAAGGAGGTAATAAACAATTAAAAAATGTCAAAAAAAAAACATTTTTTTAATATTTTAGGAGAAATTAAGTGGTCAACTATGAATATATCACTCTGCATATTGTCTTAAAATAAATAATATAATTAAATTTTAGTATATTACATAGTAAGTTAAAATTTAAAAGAAAAATAAAATTTTTTAAAAGGATGCCTTGGCAAGGAAATGATGAAATAATGATTGATCGTTTTGATGCTCGTGCACATTTAGACTTCATAAGAGAACCAAAAAAAGAAGATACTGATGATGAATTATCATATGAAGAACGCCAATTAAATTATGAACGTTATAGAATTTTAGTTCAAAATGAATTTTTATCAAGTATTATTGCTATGATTTTATAATTTTTCCTAGTAAGTATGCGTAACTTTTTTTTAGTGCCAGAGAGTAAGTTTTTGCATCAACTCTTAGTGGAAGAAAAATTTGGTCCTGTTGGTAAGTCAGATGCAGATGATGCAAAGAAAAAATCTACAGCAAATGCTGCAATTCCATATAAATATAATGACGATGAAGATACTACAATTATTGATGATTCAAAAAAGTATTTAGATATTAAAACAAAAGTTGAAAATTCAGACGATTCAGATGAAGAAAGCGAAGTAGATTTTGGTATTTTATTTATAAAATCATTGAAAAAAATTAGTAATAACTTGGATATTAATGTTTTTTTTATTTTTCTACCTTGCTTTCAGTTTTTAATGTAATAATATTTATTTATCTGATACTTAGAAGTATAAATAATGAGTCTATATATTCTTTAAACTAAATGATTAGCAAATGCTAGCAAGTAAATGAGTGAATCAATAAACACTTGTTTTATTTTAAGATTGATTATTGTTGCTTATGACTTTTTTTAATCTGTTATTTTTTTAAAGAAATATTCAATAGTTTTTTTTTTTGTCTATTGACATGCAAATATTATATAATTTGCAGGGTGATTCTTTTAACGCTAGCAAAATATTTAAGTGGGAGTTATAGTAATTATATGGTTACTATAACTCCCACTTAAATTTTTCGCTAGTGTTAAAAGTATTTGCCTTTATATATATATATCAAAAAAATATGTAAAATTAATAAATATTTAAATGTATTATTATAAAACTATAAATTTCAATTTATATATATATTTTTTTTTTTTTTTTTGTAGATTTATCTATTGACATTAGTAAAATTGGTACTGACCAAGCTAATGAATTAAATACTACAGCTCATAATTATGGAATGACTACCAATGATTTTTATAGTTTTCTAAATAATGATTTAGAAGAAGCTGAAAATATTCAGTTGACTCGTTTAGCTGAAGAAGAGAAAGCAATGTTTGCTGTAATATTTTTTAAATTAATGAAAAAATGTTTGCTTATAACTTTAAAATGTATTCTTTATCATTTTTAGGGAAGACGATCTAGGAGAGAACGACGTGCATATAGATTAAAAGCATTAGAAGGCAAAGCATTAAGTCCTCTTAGGTATTTGTTTATTTGCTAGTAATTAATTTCTTAATTAAAACTCATTGTAATTATATAAAATTACTTTTAGCTATGCAACTCGAAAAAGTCCAAGCTATAATGATTTTGATAAACTTTCTTCTATGGCTACATCACGTTCACCTACACCAGAAAATACAGGGCAAGTTACTTATATAACAAGCTTTGGAGATGAAGAGCAAGCACCAATAAATGAAAAATCAAAATCATCTAAGTAAATTACTCACAAAATTTAACTTTTTCTATTTTAAAATAATATTGACTAAGATTCTTAAGGTATTTGTTATTATTAATTACTTTATTTTTTTTAGTTCTAAATCGTCAATATCAAAGCATTCTTCATCTAGAAAAAAACGTTCTCGTACAAGATCACCACATAAAAAGTCCAAATCGCCTTCTAAACATCTTGCTCGATGGCGTAGATCACTTAGTAGAAATAAATCAGTTTCTCCTGCCAGGTATAATATTTAATTTTTAATTAAATAGTAAATAATTGTTAATGTTTAAATTTAATTTTAGTATTTCAAAGAAATGAACATTGTTTTTAAATATTGATGACTGAATAGATTTTAAGTTGAATAAAATAAATAATTATAAAATATCTAAGAGTCTCAGATGCCAAGCCGATTAACGCCAACATTTTTAAAATTACTCTTTTAAAAGAATTTTTTTATCTGACCATGTTATTTTTATTATTTAAAACAGTGTTAATTATATGTTTAATGAATACTTTTACTACCAAAAAGTAATTTGGAAAAATGTGAGTAACTTGGCTTAGCTTTTGAGTGCTTCATATAATCTGTACAACTTCAGAACAGGTCATTTGATATATCAAAATGTATTCAACGTTGTACATCCCTTCAATAAATTTGCGCTGATGGTAAACTCTTAATACTACTGCGAGAATGTAATAACATTCATTTAAATAATATTTATGAATTTTGACATAAATGAACACTAGAAAAATGGGAATATCTTCAAAATTATATTTTCATATTCATGCAAACTGTACTCCAATGCAGTATAATCCATTATAAATATTTTGATTAATTGATTAATGTTTGATGCAGCAAATGATTTTGCATTGCTTTTTTAAAAATAATTATTACAGTTTTGTACTATGTTAAAAACATATATTTTTTTATTTGACTTAAATAAGAAAAAATAATATTTTTAAATTTTAAAGTTATTATTTCTTAATTATAAACGTACACTTTTCTTGTAAAAAATATTGATAACAACTTTAATAAGTACTTATTAAGTTATAAGGATTCTAATTCATATTGTGAGTAAGTAATGTGAGTGGATGCACATACACCAATACATATTGTACTCACCCTCACTTCATACCACTCTAAGTATTAAAATGCTTGTAACTCAATTAGTATTTATTAATGTTGTTATCAACTTATTGAAGTATAATAACTTCTCTATAATAATGACACTATTGTTTAGGACATCTACTCCTGCAGCTCAAAAGCCTCCTCCAATTCAGCGGTAAAATTTTATAATTATTATAATAATAATTATCCAGTGGTTTTAATTAATAAAATTTTTATTTTAACAGATATTACGGTCGAAGAGGAAAAGATTCATCATCTGAATTAAGTTTATCTGAAGATGAAGACAGTAAGAATAAAAAGAATACTAATAACCACAATAAAATCTCGTATGTATCTTCAGAAAAATTGATCTACTTTAGAAATATAACTTACATAAAATTTATTATTTCCAGAATACCAGATATCAGTTTATCTTCTTCCAGTAAAAAAGTCAGTAGTTTGTTAAAATATGGCAGAGTACATTAAAATGTTGTAAAAATAAACCTTGTTTATTTTATTATTAAAAAAAAGAAGCTTTAAGTTATTTTAATTTAAAATGTTTACAATAATAAAATAAAATTTAATATTTATATTTATAAATCTGAAATTTTGGCATAAACTCTTATATTCAAACTATAAAAAGCTCTTAGAAATTTAGATATTACCTTTATATTTGTGTTTACAGCAGAATTCAACTGACAAAAAACCTACTCCACAGGAAATAATGAAACGAAAAATGCAAGTTTTGCTTAACAAACAATGTCAGTATTAATAGCTAGTAATATTTAAATATTCAACCACGGCTGTATCAAATGGGATATTTTTATATTTTACTTAATTTATATATTTACTAAAACAAATTTTTAATTTTTTTTTTTTAGATAAAGCAGATAAAAAAGCTCAACGAGAAAGAGAATTAAAAATGGAGCGAGAACAAATAGAACGAGAAGAAGAAATTAAAGAACTATCATTAAAAATGAGAAGACGGTCTGTATAAAATTGAAAAAGATTATTTAATTAAAATTATATTTGACAATTTGTTAAGTAACTAAAAATCTGTTAATAAAATAATCACAATAAATATTGCCATAATTTTTAACTTTTATATTGGCATTTAAATATGCTATGACAATTAAAATATTGTTGAAAATATAAATATAGATAAATTTACTCTTTTTAAATCCAAGATTAGAGTTTATTTTATAAATTAAATGTTTAAATGTTTGATATTTATAATTCAAAATATCCTTATTTATTAAATAACTTGATCTATTAACTTGTGAAAATGACCATATCATTAAACATACAGACAGTCTTATCCAGACTTGGGCATAACTGCTTGTAAAAAGCAAATAGGCTCCTCCATCTCTTCACTCCAAATCAGAGAGACTTATCAACAGAACTTTATACGGAAAGGTGAAAGTGACATTAAGGAAACTCCATAGCACCGGTTGCACCATAGAGTATATTGGCTTACAGCTATACCAAGATCTGCTGTGGTGAACCTTTCTTGGCTTTTTGTGGGAACAGAATGGATATACCACAAGAAGAGATAATTTTGTGAAAATCAGGGAACCAATTAAGAAAAATCTGTAAAAACAAATGTGAAAAAATGAGGCTCAATAAAAAAACGTTGAAATATTTAAAATTTATAGCTAGGAATGATTTACCTAATGATGAACCACACTAACAGTGGGACAAATTATGATGAGTTATAAACTACCAAAAAAAAAGAAAATGAAGTCAACAAACAGAATCAGGAGTCATAAGACCATCTGGTATTGTTATGACTAAACTGAAAAAATTCAGAATTATCTTGTGAAAGCAGAAATCTAATTTAAGAAATCCATAAAAACAAGAATGAAAACAACAAAGTTCCATAAAGCTAAACATATTACACTGCGCTGATAAACCAATTTTCATCATAAAATTTAGTATATGTTGCGCACAATAGACTATAAAGTCTGAGTGCATAGGCACTAACTATGCCCACCCTTTTAATAACTAAAACTAAACTTATAAAAAATTTTTCCTGGTTGTTAATCTATAAATTACTTAAGTATTTTAAAACTTTTAGAAGAAGACGATTACGTCACCCAGAAAATAGTTCTTCATCATCTTCATCATCTTCATCACAATCAAAGTCAAGATCTAAATCTAGAAGTCCAAGCAGTTCAAGTTCGAGTTCAAGTTATTCTAGGTAATATTTTTTATTAAATATGATTTTTCAATTGCTTAAAAAAAATTACTGTAGGTATAGAAAGCGTAGACGTAGATCAAGATCCAGATCTAGAAGTGCAGTTCGGCATAGATCAAGAAGTTCTGATCGTAGACGGCGGTCAAGAAGTGATGATAGGAGACGAGTTAAAAGAAATGATGAGCGTGACAGGTATAAAAGAGATGACAGACGTGATTATGATCGAAGAGATGATTATCGATCAAGACGTAGTCCTGATAAAAGAAATAGGAGAGAAGATAGAAGAGATAGTCCTATAAGAAGGGATAATAAACAAAGAGAAAGCCCGGATCGTAGGAAAAAAGAAATTGTTGATAATCGCCCAGCAGCAAGAATTACTTATGAGGCTAGTCCTAAACGTTATGTACCAAGTGCTAAACCACAAACTACTATGAAGTATTAATTAATATAATATTTGTTTAATTTTATTGTAATTAAAATATTAATAACTTTATTTCCAGGCCTCTAGTAGATTATTGATCAAGCAAACCCTTCAGACTGTAATTTTTTTTTATTTTTCCAACAAACTTGAAGACTTCTACAAAGTATAAACATATTTATGTATTTTTTATTCTCTAATGATTAGATGTTAATTTTGTTTAAAAAAATTGTTTATACTCGATAATATTTTAAAATTAAATTTGCAAAACACTATACTTAATTTTGAATTTTTTATTCTCCTACATTATCAGTTTTAAAAGTGATTGAAGCAGTGTCGGCTCGTGGCTTGGACGACTGGACGATCGCACCTCCTACTAAATTTAATTAAAAGAAGAAAATAAAAACCCAGCACGGGGGGTCGCGGCACAGTGGTGACGTGACATATTTGGATCAAGTATAATGATATCTGACAGTGATTAAAATCACTATCATAAAAAACGCTTCGATGCAAATCTTTAGATAGTGTTTAATTTTAAAAAATTGGTGGATTATTCCAAAAGCAACATGATCTGCTAGTTCGTTATTAATATCCTGATTCAGATAAAGTATATCGAATGAAAAAGGGATTATTAAAAATTATTATTTCTCATAAAAAAATTATGTTGATCCATACACTTTTCAATAAGTTATAGCATTATAAAGTTAAAAATAAAAAAATAAAATCGAGAATTTTCACACAAAAATAGCATTCGGTAGCCAATTTCACCCTGAAGACAAAATAAATTACGGAATTTTTTTTTGCCATAATAAAGTGCATTACATTAGCTTTAATTAAAGATATATATAAAAATGTCAGACTTTCCGGAACACTTTCAAAATTTAAGTTGAAAAAGTAAATTTTTTCTGAAAAAGTTGTCATTTTGAATCCCCCCCTGTAGACAGGTAAAGGGTCAGATTTATAAAAAAAATATACCAAATGATAGGTAAAGACATCATGCATTTATAAAAAAAAAAATTATATTGATCTATACATCTTTCAAAAGTTATAGCATTATAAAGTTAAAAATATAAAAAAGAATTTTTTTACAAAAATCGTATTTTTTTATTAACTTTGATGTCTGTTTTTACCATGAAGATAAAATAAAGTCCGAAATTTTTTTTTACCATAATAAATTATATTACATTAGCTTTAATTTAATATATATATAAAAGTGTCAGACTTTCCGGAACACTTTCAAAATTTAAGTTGAAAAAGTCAATTTTTTGTGAAAAAGTTGTCATTTTGAATCCCCCCCTGTAGGCAGGTAAAAAGTCAGATTTATAAAAAAAATATACCAAATGATAGGTAAAGACATCATGCATCTACAAAAAAAAGAATTATATTGATCCATACATCTTTCGAGAAGTTATAGCATTATAAAGTTAAAAATATAAAAAAGAATTTTTTTACAAAAATCGTATTTTTTTTATTAAGTTTAATGTCTGTTTTCACCATGAAGATAAAATAAAGTCCGAAATTTTTTTTTACCATTATAAAGTATATTACATTAGCTTTAATTTAAGATATATATAAAAGTGTCAGACCTTCCGGAACACTTTCAAAAGTTACGTTGAAAAAGTTCTACTTTCTATATGCATTTTTTAGATTTAAACCCCCCTTGTATATAAGGAAATAGTCAGATTTAAAAAAACAGTATGTCGAATGAAAGATGTACATAAATACTACTTCTCATGAAAAAATTGTATTGATCCATACATTTTTCAAAAAGTTATAGCATAATAAAGTTAAAAATGGAAAATACAAAATCGAAAATTTTCACACAAAAATAGCATTCGGTAGCATTTTTCAGCGTGAAGATAAGATAAAGTCCGAAATTTTTTTTTTTCATGATAAAGTATATTACATTAACTTTAATTTAAGATATATATAAAAGTGTCAGACCTTCCGGAACATTTTCAAAAATCAAGTTGAAAAAATTAATTTTTTGTGAAAAGTTGTCATTTTGAATCCCCCCTTGTAGGCAGGTTAAGGGTTAAATTTATGAAAAAAATAAACCAAATGAAAGGTAATAATATTATGCATCTATATAAAAAAGAATTATATTGATATGTTCATTTTTGAAAAAGTTATGGCACTTTTAAGTAAAAAAAATTGAAAAAATTTCGAAAATTAGCGATTTTTAAATTTGTAATTTTTTTGGAGGTTTCCCCCATTTACGGGGAACGAGGGAATTTTTTTCAATTTTTGAGGGTAATGTCTTCGACTAGATCGATTTGTGATCTTTTGACGTATCATTGAAAGAAATCGGTTCGGTGAGAGTTGAGAAAAAGTGGTAACAGAACCAAAAAAAAAAAAAAAACACATCTTAGTAAAACCAATACCTTCTCAGCTTCGCATCGAAGCTAATTGTATATTCTTAATTCTATATTTTTATTAAAAATGCAAATTTTTAAATAGTCAAATAATTATAATATATTTGTCCGTGTGCGAACATTAGAGTTGTTTCACTCAGTAAATGCGGGTACGCATGTACAAACGATCAGTGTTTGGACGGCGCTGTCGGTCGTCCATACAGTAAAATATTAGTATATTACTATATTAGGTAATTTATTTTTAGAATTAATGTGTACGCTTGTCATAACCGGTTGCTATAATAGAATAATCGCTATTATTATTATTTTCTACTGCGACCTTAAAAATAATAATATGTATATTATGTTTAATTTTGTCATATTTAATTTGACAATTTTCTATACATATGACTAGCAGTATTATATTTAAAGTCGCACCCCCACCACCAGCACCAACAAATCGCAACTGGATTGAAGCAAAGGAAAATTAAATTTATATTTATAGGCCAGTCAACAAAGAAGTAATTTTGGCGAATGGCGGAAAAAATTCCCAACCAAATTTTTTTTTTTTTTAAAGTTAAATTAAGATATGTATAATGACATACTAAAAGTCCTCATCGATTGGACTTGAGCTTTTTTTTTACAGCCTTGCAAAAGTTCAAAAATATGAGCTTTTTTAATTTTCTCAATAAATATTTAACTTACAAAAAAAAGTTTCCTACAAAAGTTGCTCAAAGACAATTTTAAACAAATAAGGTATCTTATATTTTTTCATTTTAACAAATATTTTTCGTGTTACATTACATTTAATATGAGTACTAATATTTATTTTCCAATTTTTTAATTTTATGGTTACTTTTTATCATGTTATACTTACATTAGACACAATGTTATAAATGCATATGTGTGAGTTTATTTATTTATAGTATCATTAAAGTGTAGAGTATATTAAGATACAACCGATAAAGTAGGTAATTGATTTGACGCTAAATTGTACATTCCCAAATAACAATTATATTATGTCAATTACCACCGGAATTTCTGCTAATCTTTTTCTTTGCCTTAATCCCAACTACTTGGGGTCGGCTACCCTTATCCTAAACTTCCACTTGACACGATCTCACTCATCTTCTACACTCACATCAGCTGTCCTCATATTGCATTCAATAACATCCCTCAATTTCTTTTTTGGTCTTCCTCTACCTCTCCTTCCTTTAACATTCATTTCTATAACTGTTCTTACAGCTACCGATTCTTCTCTCCTCATATAACGACTAAATCATCTAAGTCTATTTTCTCTCATCTTATCCACGATTGACGCTAAACCTATAATCCCTCTGATATACTTAAAATACTATAAATACTAAATACTTAAAACTTTCTACCTCCCCATTCACACTCTCGCCTATTGTCACTGATCTCCTCATTTCATCTACCTCATGTTCTCTTTTGTCAACCCAGCCAGAATTTCTGGTCATGATAAAATTAATTATCATAAATTGTCTAAAATTGGTCTTGTTCTAGTAAACTCAATGGTGGATAATAACTTTCATGATATAAATCTTAAAAGGTCAAATAAAGTTATAACTGTATCTTCAATAACTTCTATTGTTAAAATTAATAATGAAATAATTAAAGTAAACCCATTGCTACTATATCAACTAATCGTTATTTAAAAAAAAACCAGCAGTGACCCGGCACAGTGTGTATAATTGGGTACAGTATAGATAATATGTGACAGTGATTAAAATCATTATCATAAAAAAACGCCTTGATGCAAATCTGTAGATAGTGTTTAATTTTAATGGATTATTACAAAAGCTACATGATCCCCTATTTCCTTATTTATATTCTTAATACAAGTTTTATGCATTACTAGTGCAAAGTATGTAATCGATGGAGGATTTCTCCACTATAAAGTTATTTGACAAATGTATCAAAAAAATTATTTTTCCATTTTCTTATTCATTTTCCCATTCTAAATTTTGATAGAATATATCTTCAACAAAAGTACAATTTTCTTAATCTTCAATCTTTATTTCTATTGAATTTGTACGCCATTGACCTTTGCAATGTTCACATATAATAGAATATTTAAGCCCTGTTTTTCGGCAACCACAATTTTGACCAGTTCCAGCACCTGACTAAAGACCGTTTTATAACAATTATCTTTATTATTAGAAGAAATTCTGGTGGCAATAGACATAATACAATTGTTGTTTTGGAATGTACAATCTAGCGTTTAGTTGGGTTTAAATAATATAGCGTCAAATCAAATACCTACTCTATCGGTTGTATCTTAATATACACTACACTTTAATGATACTATAAATAAATAAACTCACACATATGCATTTATAACATTGTGTCTAATGTAAGTATAACATGATAAAAGGTAACCTTAAAATTAAAAAATTGAAAAATAAATATTAGTACTCATATTAAATGTAATGTAACACGAAAAATATTTGTTAAAATGAAAAAATATAAGATACCTTATTTGTTTAAAATTGTCTTTGAGCAACTTTTGTTGGAAACTTTTTTTGTAAGTTAAATATTTTTTGAGAAATTAAAAAAGCTCATATTTTTGAACTTTTGCGAGGCTATAAAAAAAAGCTCAAGTCCAATCGATNGTAGGTTAAATATTTTTTGAGAAATTAAAAAAGCTCATATTTTTGAACTTTTGCGAGGCTATAAAAAAAAGCTCAAGTCCAATCGATGAGGACTTTTAGTATGTCATTATACATATCTTAATTTAACTTTAAAAAAAAAAAAAATTTGGTTGGGAATTTTTTCCGCCATTTGCCAAAATTACTTCTTTGTTGACTGGCCTATAAATATAAATTTAATTTTCCTTTGCTTCAATCCAGTTGCGATTTGTTGGTGCTGGTGGTGGGGGTGCGACTTTAAATATAATACTGCTAGTCATNTTATACGAGGTATATAAGGTATCTCAAAAATACATAAAGACCTTAATTTGAGTTAATTAGAAATGAAACATATTGAAAAAAATTTAATCCTTACTAGAAACAATTTGTGATTTTTTGACATATTGTTCATCAAAGTTATTTATTTATAAAATTGTAATTATTTTGGAAATATACCCCATTTACGAGGGAAATATTTTCAATTATCAAGGGTAATGTCTTCAACTAGATACAATTTGTGATCTTTTGACGTATTGTTTATCAAAATCGGTCCATCTAGAGCGTTCACAGACACATACAAAAAAAAATATAGTAAAATTAATACCTTCTCAGCTTCACATCAAAGCTAAAAAAGGGGGCTGCCTTATCCAAAAAAATATTTTCTTGCTAGTATTGGCTGATAATGAATTCTAATTTCAATTTCATAACTGAAATTCATATAATTAACTAACGAGGGTATGAATAATCGAACTTTCTTTTCTTTTTTAGTTTCGATGCGAATCTAAGAAGGTATTAATTTTACTATGATGTGATTTTTTTTTTGTATCTTGCCACTTTTTCTCAGCTCTTACTAGACAGATTTTGATGAACAATATGTCAAAAGATCACAAATTGTATCTAGTTGAAGCCATTACCCTTGAAAATTGAAAATATTTCCCTCGTTCCCCGTAAATGGGGGAAATATCCAATAATATTACAATTTTATTAATCAGTCATTTTTGACGTTTTTTTTTGAAAATTTCCATAACTTTTTCAAAAATTAATAAATCAAGATAAGTTTTTTTTATATTGAAATCTTAGATGCTTGCCTTTCATTTGATATCATTTTTTTGAAAATCTAACTAAACCTGCCCACAGGGATTTCAAAAAAGAAATTTTTGCACACAAGTAAAGCTTTTTTAATTAAATTTTTGAAAATATTCCGGAATATTGACACTTTTATTTAACCTCAAATTAAAACTTATATTATATACTTTACTATGAAAAATAAAATTTGAAGTATAGATTTTCTTCTTGGTGAAATTGGCTACTGATTCAAAAATATGCTATTTTTGTGTTAAAATTCTAGATTTTGTATTTTATTTTAAAATATTTTACAAGGGGAATACACTGGCTTTCATAAATATTATATAATTTAATTGACATAGTATAAAGTTCATAAGACATAAGAATTTAAATTGTTTGCTTATAGTTTCGATGCAAATCTGAGAACGTATTAATTTTACTATGATGTGTTTTTTTTTTATTTATTTATTTTTTAATTTTTTTTTTTTTGTGTCTATTACCACTTTTTCTCAGCTCTCACCTAACCGATTTCTTTCAACAATATGTCAAAAGATCACAAATCGTATCTAGTTGAAGACATTACCCTCAAAAATGGAAAAAATTTCAAATTTAAAAATTGCTAATTTTTGAAATTTTATTTACTCAAAACTGCCATAACTTTTTCAATAATGATTATATAAATATAATTTTTTTTATAAATGCATAATGTCTTTACCAATCATTTGATATATTTTTTTTATAAACATGACCCTATACCTACCTACACAGAAGGATTCCAAATGACAACTTTTTCAATTTAACTTTTTAAAGTGTTCCGGCAATACTGACAATTTTATATATATCTTAAATTAAAGCTTATGTAATATACTTTATAATAGAAAGAAAAATTTTTGGACTTCAATTTGTCTTCACGGTGAAAATTCTCGATTTTATATTTTACATTTTTAACTTTATAATGCTATAACTTATTGAAAAGTGTATAGATCAATACATTTTTTGGGAAATAATATTTATATCCCTCTTTCATTCGACATACTTTATCTTAATCAGGATATAAATTAGGAAATAGCAGATCATGTAGCTTTTGGAATAATTCATCATTTTTTTAAAATTAAACACTATCTATAGATTTATATCGAAGCGTTTTTTATAATAGTGATTTTATCACTGTCAGATATCATTATACTTGACCCAACTATGCCTTATCTATGCTGGGTTTTTTTTAAAGTCGAAAACGTAACTTTAAAATTTGAATTAGCTTAAATTGCTAATTTTATAACCCAACGAAAGTGACAATCAGTTGTCGGAATCGGTAACACTTGTATATTTTGCGCTTAGGGTACAAGGTCAAATCCGCCTATGACAATTTGTATTTTGCATTTTTTTGTATTAGAAAAAAAATTTTCAAACCATTTGATTTTTATCTCATTTAGATTCTATAACTTCAATAATTATTGAGGATCCCATCACTGTAGTCTCCCCTCGTGAGAGAAATTTCTTATTCATGTTAATATTATTTTACTCTGTGGTTTTATTTGTGGCTGCAATTTATTTTCCTAACCCTCAATTAACCTACTTTTTTCAACGATACGTCAAATTATTACAATTTATATTTAGTTGAAGATATTAATCTCAAAAATTGAAAACAAATCCCTTAATTAAATAAAAAGTAGCTTAACCAGCTTTATCCATACAAACAAAATCATTCATTTCTAATATTTTTAAAGTATTTATTGTCAAATTAGATTTAATATGATAAAATATATTTACAAAAGTAAATGATTTTAATCACTGTCAGATTAAATCTATACTGGACCCATCTATGCCACGTCCCCACTGTGCTGGGTTTTTATATATAATTTCTCAGTCAAAATTACAACATTAAATTATTGAATATCAGTTTATACTAAATTTAATTACTATAATAAATATGTATCCCTGTATTATACTTATAAATAATAAAATTATGTATAATAAATTTTAATATAAAATATATAATTATGAATACTATATAATAAGAATTTAGGAATTCATGTTGTTTTTATTAACAACTATAATTCAAGAACACTAAACAGATTTGCATCAAAGTGTTTTTATTTTGGTGATTTTAACCACTATCAGATATTATTTAGACTCGTCCAAACTGCGACCCCACTGTGCTAAGTTTTAATTTTTATGAAATTTTTTTTTATTTTAACCAAATAATAAAAATCATTAACTAAAGTTTGTAAAGTCTCGTTCCCCAAAAACATTTGAAATATATTAAATATAACTTATATAATTTATTTGTCCCGAAATATTCACATACATATTTTAACAAAAATAAATATAATTTACATCCCAACTTACATAAAATTAATTATAATATATTACACGATTAAAAATCAATTCAGTTCATATTTAAAAATATCTATTAAGGATTTAGCTTCCTAATTGTGTCCAGCTATAAGTAGTTGAAGTTTGATAACTGTTATCTATCTGTTCAGTATTGTGGGCTGATATAATTTTATTATGACCAACCTGGGGCTTTGAAAAATAGCAAGATGTACACTGACATCTTCCAGTCATATCTCTTTGACTACTGTATTGATACAGCCATTCTTCTGGCGGAGCTGTATATTCTTGAGTAAATGAGTTTTCTGCTTGAGAGAAAGTATTTTTAAATATAAGATTGATGATAAAAATAATTTTAAATATACCATAAGGAATTGTTGAAGGTGTATAAATTTCGTAGTGGTTTTTTCTTTCTTTATCTTCAGTTTTTATTTTTGTATCTTTGAAGGCCTTGGCAAATGGATTGTATTTTATTTTTAGTTTGGTAACCTAATAATGATAAATGTTAAGAAAATATGTTAATTCATTGTTGTAAAAATACGATTATGGCAAAAAATATTAGGTTGTAAACAAAATTTTTTGATCAATTTAAAATAAATTTGACTATTATCCATTCTTTTAAAAATTCCAGCTAATAATATCTCTTTTTTTCCCTCTTATTGTAGATATCAAGTGTTACCCTAAATTAAGACCAAGGTGATTTGTGCTAGATAACATCACAAAGTGAAATAGAATACTAAATTTAGAAAAAATCGTTTAAATTAAAAAAATTAAATAAGACACTAAATTTTTCTGGGACTTGCAATATAATGGGCTAATACTTTCGATATTATATAAAGGAGTCTTTTATTTTAAGTATAATTGTAAAACCTCTTCATTTTGATACGCAGTGACTGCCATAAATCTTGTCTGTGGCATTGAAAATATTTGAACATCTTCTGGATCTCCTACTCTGACAATATGAAGCTTAGTCTCATATTGGTGTAACGAATTTAAATGAGTCTGAAAATAATATGAATATATTAATAAAAGTGATAAGTTAGACTAATTGAAATTGTACTTGTCCAGGATTGTCTGGCCTATTTGTTAGCTTTATTTTGGCAAATGAAATAGGCTGTTCCATCCAGTGTTTTCCAAAGTTAGGTGATTCTGGATGTTTATAAAATGGATTTTTAGTAGCTGGATCTGAAGTAGTAGTCGGCGACCATTCACTATTAATGTACTTCCACCGTTGGCCTACTACTTGTACAAATTCTAGAAATATTGTATACATATCTGACGGACTTAGTCCAGTCACTTGCACTTTTATGACAGGAAACATCCTCCTAATGGTATATTAATTTTTTATTAATAAAAAATAATCTAATTAATCCTCTTAATGTTTTATAAAATATTACAAGTGAAGTATTGCAATGGATACAGTTTAGCACCAACAAGTTGATTTTTATTTTACAATACTAAATCACGGGACGGTGTGTCCGAGTCGGTTACGCGGCGGCAGTGCTTGACGCGCACTGCCCTCGAGTTCGAAACTCGGTCACGGGCGGCTTCATTTGCCGAACGAGAGATCAGTTCGGTAATCGGAGTCGCCATCTCACTCTTTGGCGACGGACTAACATCCCGTCCCAGAGTATAAGTGGTTAAGGAAACCTCCTCCTAGGGGGAGGTCGCTATGGCCCTTAATAGACTAAAAAAAAATAATACTAAATCAATCAAAACACTTATTAGAACAGTAACCTGATCTAATTTTTTTTCTATAAAATGCGTAATTTGAAATTGTGATTTAAATATTAGTATATGCATATAAGAATTTACTATAGCTGCACAACGATTTAATTATTAAAATTACTTCAATTAAAGTACCTAATTGAAACTATATTTAGCAAAAAAAAAATCGATTTTAGTTATTAAATAGTGTAATAATTACTATTAAATATTGTGGATTCTTTCAAAATAAATATGGTTTTGAAAAAATATGTTATATTTTATACTTAAAAAAGATGTTTTGCAAAAAAAAAATTTAATTTTGATCATTTTAATTAGAACTTATTATAAATTATTATTTATTCATTTTTAGGATTTTTTTTGTAATTCTTTTTGTAATAATTTTTAAATTTAAAAAAACTAGACTAACAAACTATAGTCGCCATTGGCTAATTGTTACTATAATCAGTATATGACTTAGACACCAGTAAGAATATGTAATAAGTCCTTAAAAAAAAATTCTTAGTCCACCCCCAAGCAAAAATTCTGACTACTCCATTAAACACAGCCATTTTTATATTCTTTAAAGCAAATAAAAAATATCCCAATTAGATTTTATATCTGGATTAGACAAATAATTCAATACATTTAATTCTTTAAAATTTAACATTAAATTAAATGAAATTAATAAAAAAGTTGAAAAATTGTGTTAGTAAGAATGAATTTTATTGGTTAATATTAATTTGGTATTAAGTTTGAATTTGAACTATTCAAAACATAAAGTAACATCTAATAAAATTTATGTGATTTGAACTTAATCTCATTAAATTATGTTAAAAATAATAATTTAAGTAAAATTTGTTAATTATAAGTAAATTAAGTATTATATTAAAATTTTACTTTTTACTCATTTTCGAAATGTATGTTACACTTCACATAATTAGGTATAAATTCTGAACTTATAATTAATATTTAATTTAATATTTTTGTGTTAGCATTATACAAAACTATTAATATATATATTAGATCACATTACATATTTTAATAGTATATCGTTTGCGTATTACTAATATACATGCGAAATTGTGCACGTATGGCTTCGGTACTTATGTAATTTAACAAATATAAATATACATCATATCTATCACATATGTACTTAATATAATTTAAAAACCAAGAAATAAACATAAATTAATGAATTTCATTATGATGATTATAGTAGTAACGATAGGTATATTTTATTAACGTTTTCTAGGATGTATGTAATTATTGTAACTTATTGCTTAAGTGTCTAAATATTTTAAAAGATTTTAATAGATTTCAATCGTGTGTGTTAACTTGTATATAATCAATATGCATCATTATTTGTAATTATTGTTTTTATATTATAAGAGAATATTAATTTGTAAATTACGTTTGAGCGGAGGCAAATTTTGAAATTTATTCAAGTTATTATTTTTAAGGACTCCATCCGAAGTATGGTCATAAAGATATTAAGCAATTTTACGATACACTGAAAAAGAGTATATATGTATATAAGGAACTTATTTTGATTATTTATAAAAAAATGTCAAACTATAACTTTACCTGCTTAAAAAAATTTTTGTTTCTCAAAAAAATGTTCGATTAGGCTCGGATTGGTTTTGTGACCTACCGATAAAATCTTGGTATACCCTATTAATTAGAGATTAATCCAGTGGTTTTTATAAAATCTAATAATTTAAATAGTAAATGTTAATAACTTTCTCTGTTTAGAGGACGGTTAAAAGAAGGCGGTAATCTGAAAAAAATTAACAATCTAACATGGAAAAAATTGTTTTTCCTATTTTCTTTATGTCTTATACTTTACTCCCTTTAGCACTAAATCAAGGTTTATTAATTATAAGTTTAAATTGTTTTATTTAACACTTGCACACTAAATCCGGGTTTTAATGCAATAATCTTTTTACAATTTATTACATTTTAACAATGAAAAAATATTCTAGTATAATGTGAATTCCGTGACGTAGCAACACTTAAACAGATTTTTTCTAAACTAAAATTCTATTATTAAAAATATCAGTAATTGTCTTATCAGTAATTGGTAAAGCACACAATTAGTGCATTTATAAGTTTAGTTTAATTAATCTGAACACATCATTAGCAAGCATAAATTTTTATTAATTGACTTAATAACTTAGTAATGTATTTTTTCTGATGTTATAACTTTGGGGTGATTTGAGGGGTTAATCCCTTCAAAATATATAACCTGAAAAATATTTCTACGCAACTATATATCTCTGCAACAAAGTTGCATAATCTTAAGACCTTTCAAAGTTTATAAGTCCTCGCCAGTACTAAGTCTAAATTACAATATTTTTTACTGTATTTTAACGTCAATAACCTTTTTAAATAACCTGAACTTTCACGAAAACATTATTGGTAATACTAAATAAAATTATTTATGTTTTGATATACTTTTTATAAAAATCAAATAATAATTCAACATCTGGTTCATTCATTGCTTACAAACATTTTAATAAATAGAGAGATTTGTAGCGTGGGTAGTACATCTCGTATTTGTTTATGTGCAAATGTATACTTGTCACGAATCAACGGTCCATCGGATAAAACAATTGCATTTTTTTATTCTATCATAATGTTAAGTTAAAAATAGGAGTTTCCGTTTAAGATAATTAAATTTCAAGTTTTATAATTTTTAAGGAATAAAAAAAAATGATTTAATTACAGATAACGTGAAGTTTTTTGAATTTAAAATTTTGTTTTTTGCAAAAATTTAAAATTTGCAATAAATATGAAATAATGTGTGTCATCTTGGATCACTACTCTTTATTGAATGGTATATTTTTATTACAATTTTTTTACATATTATATAGTTTATAAAAATAATAATTATTTTAAAACATTTAGTAATATAATTATAATAATATTACCTGTTATATGTGTTTTTGTGGAAATCTTTTTTAGAAAAAAAATATTTTACTCGTTTGTTGTCAATTTTTCGATATTTTTATATGAAGTATTAAATAATTTAAACATACCTTCCGGTTTTGGTTACAATCATTTCATTGTTGATGGCTAAAAATTCTGACCAAAGTTGCGCATCAAGTAGTCTCGCCCGTACTGGTTGTCCTTTGACCCAAGTCAAGTTTTGTAGTTCAGATGAAGTCATGTTACTTGGGTTGTTTAATTATTATATTGATTTTTTCTTTTTGACTCTTAAATCACCACATGTACTTAAAGGCACTCAATGCATGAAATTATACAATTAACAAGGAACGCACATTTTTTATTCTCACATTGGTGTTGCTTCGTTCACACCTGAGTGATCAGTGACGGTTGCCGGATAGGTAAAATTTTAGAAATTTTCGGGCGGTCCCACATTGAAGAACTTCTCGGTGGTCAGTAGGTAGGTGGAGTCTTATTCTTTATTTTATTGCACCCATTACCACCAGTATGTATCTAAAGAATCATGTTTTGTGTACTAATATTGTTATAAATGCGTATACGTTTTTATTGTTGTGTGAAAAGAAAAGACACACAACAAATGTTATTCATCAATGGACACCGCTCATCAACGTACGCCAGTATCTTAATTATTTCTAATAAACTCAGTATAAATCCTTTCGATCATTGCGTCAATTCACACTTATTAATGCTCTTAGAATCGTGTAGTTTTAATTATGAGTATCTTGACTGAATCGTAGATTAGTTATGTGATAAAAATGTATTAACTGGAAATGATAATTAATAATTATTCTCATTGACATCATTTTGTACTTAAAAGATATATACACTGAAAAAAATCCTGCGTAAAAGCTAGCAAATACATTACCTAAGTTTAATAACATTAAACTTAGGTAATGTATTTATTACAGTCTAATATTAAACCATTAATATTAGAATAAATTAAATAAAAAAATTAATCAAATTAACAAATGTTTTATCATATCACAAAAAAACAAATGGTTCAACTAATAAAAAAAAAATAATGCTTATTTAACAAAAATATTATTGGAAATATGTTGATAAAAAAAATTAATTGATTTTACCGAATCTTTTTCAGTGTATATAAATAAATAAACTTTCGCCTATGGTTTATAAAATGAATTCTTAAAAAATGATGTTTATTATCTAATAATAGAAAAAAGTTACTTGAAAAACTTAAATGTATTCCAATTTTTTTTTTGTTTATTTGCTTATAATGATTTTCTTTAAATATTAATTAAAAGCTTTTTTCTCTTTCACTTTTAAAAACGTCACTGTATTGGTGAATCATATTTAAAAGCTTTGCATTTTGTAAACATATAAACACCAATAATAAAGGATAATGATATATGTAAACAAGTGTAATATTTATTTTATCATAAATGTGTTTTGAAATTTAACCTGAATTTTTTAATAGTCGTATATATCTTGTAATAAAATATTTGTGTAATATAATATAATTTGTTTTATTATCTTTGCTTAAGAATAGATAATGGTACAGGATTTTTATAGAATTTTACATAACCTTCCATTCTTAATCATAAACTTCAATGGTATTTGTTTGATAAAAGAGTCTTCCGAAATTACGAATTTATATTTTAGAGCACATTCTAGTAGTATTGAGTTTAACGGTTAGGAAAAATTACTCATTATAACAAGGTTAAAAAAATATGATTTTCAAAAAATGACTGTAGCTGATATGAACCACAACATTTTTTTGTAACATATGATAATTTAATTAAGTTTTTAAAAGGGCTGGATATAAAGTATTATAACTTGAAGTGGCTTTAACATAATAAAATAAACAAATTATCAATTTAGGGAACTTGTTGAAATTTTTATGGAGTGTCAAGTTTTATANGTTGAAATTTCTATGGAGTGTCAAGTTTTATAAAGCTCTTCTCAATTCTCGCCTCTAAATAATTGTATCATTTATATTCTTTAATAAAAGTAGACATTAAGTGTATTAATAATGAAATATGATTAATAGGTATTTTACTTATAATAACTTGTATTATAGGTAAATTTTAATGACAACCACGCGTGTATAGTTAGAAGCCATTTCAGACTACAGGATTTTTGGAAATTTTAAACAGGCATCTTTATTTAAATTCTTAACTATGAAAAATTCCCTATTTCTTACACGGAAGCCTTAAAAAAATTAAATTAATATTATTTTAATTAAATAAATGATATTAATTCTCTCTTCGATCAGCGAAACCTGTGATCTGTTATATGCTAGGAATGTAGATCTACATTCCTCACTTAACAACACTGGCATATAATGTAATTTTAGAAGTATTATAGGTGAATATTCCCTGAGACANTCACCTAACAACACTGGCATATAATGTAATTTTAGAGGTATTATAGGTGAATATTCCCTGAGACAAAAGAAATTTTTTCGCATTGAAAGGATATAAAAAAATGTTTCTCCTACATATCGGCCCTAATACGAAACTAAAATTTTGTATTGGGAGGAATATAGTATTGGTTTTCTTATAAACCTTCAGAATTATTGGGGAAAGTCCAGTCTGAATCTAGAGTTTAGAAATGATTTATAACTATATTGTAGTTCATAAAATTGTATAAGTTATTTTGAAGATACTTGAGAAAATAAATAATAAAGATTATTTATTAAATATTTGAGTATTAATGGTAAAAATCATGTGTTTAAGCTTGTTTAATTAAATTTATTTTGAAGGATAAATAAATATTTTTCTTCATCCTCGTATAGATGAATGTAATATTATATTTTGTGAAGATCATTTCCTTTTCCAATTAAAAAGAAATGAGGTCTATACACGGCACTTTATTATGCGGTTAAGACCTTTTAGTTAAACCATATTTGTGTGGTCCAGTGTTTACCTTTTTTGGGTTAGTCGCATATGAAACGTTCCGACAACCGTCCAAACGTTATAAAATAATTAAACAAAAGATTCATTCCTTTTGTCGGCAAGTACATCTCAATATACATAGATTGAATCATACTTATTTGTAGCTTATGGGCTCATAAAACCATAAAATTACCAATGAAAATGTACAAACTGAAAAAAACCTGCATAATATTATCTAGCTAACAGCGCAGTAGCTACTAGCTAATGACTTTTGTGTTATACAAACATGTCGTATAGGTTACAAATTGTTAATTTCAGTAATAATTACTTTGATTCATTAGATGAAATTAAAAAATAAATAAAATTTTAATCTAACATTTCCTATCCATCAAATTTTTGCTACTAAAAACAATCATAATAAGGGATAGTCTACTGACAATTTATTTGAATTTATCATGAGAAAATGATAAATAGCAATTGAAATAAAGTGTAATCATTTTAAGTGATACCAAACTGAAATTTTGGCTAGTAGAATTAACCATTTACTTTGTTAGAGCTATTAACAATTGTAAATTACTATAGTACATTTACTGAGTTCAATAGTTCTATTCAGTTAATATATTTATTTATTGAAGGGTTTTTACCAATGTTTTTCCATACATTTATTATTCTATAGTCTTATCAATTCATAACAAGGTAGACATTTTGCCTAATTAAGCGCAGTTACTACGCATACGTATAATCTGCCGGTATAAGATTTAGTTACCGCTAATTCGTGGCCTTATCAATTTTAACCTATAAATCTATATGATTTTTCCGTTAAAATTTTTAGACTCCGGAATTTAGTTATGTTTTAGATTTAAACATTTATAAAATTTCCCATTTATCGTTGAACATTTTTATTAGTTACATTTTTTAATTTGTTCTTATAGTTTTGAATATGGCTACTAAACATCAAAATCAAAATGCCATCACATTAAAAGGATCTGCTAAATTAGTTATGGATTATTTAAGTAGGCATAACTTATCATGTCAATGCAAAAGATTTTTACATATGATCAAAATTTATAACTATATAATAAAGAGTTGAATTTAATTTGTGTTTTTCAGATTTTGGAATAAATAGTATTTTATTTCAACGGGGTATTTATCCACCTGAATCCTTCAAGACTGAAGAGCATTTCGGTTTGTCAATTTTAGTATCTACTGATGAAAAAATTCAACAATTTTTGGAACCAGTACTAAATCAAATGAAAGGTATTTAATATTTATACTGCAACCTTAAAAATCAGAAGTTCTTGAAATAATTTAATAAATTAAAATGGAGGTATAATTTTGATAAATCTAACAATCAATGCCTATATTGAAATAATTATATTTTTCAATTTTTGTAACAATAAAGATAGTTTAAAAAAAATCTTATTAATATAGTGTCTGAAATTTGTGTAAATTTTTATCATTTTGAGAATAGTTTAAGTCAACTTAAATTATTTTTAGATTGGCTGCTAGAACAAAAAATTCAAAAAATGTCTATGGTTATATCCAATGTTACTACAAAAGAAGTAATGGAGCGTTGGGACTTTAAAGTGCAATATGAAGGATCTGGTGATCCTAATCCAGACTCTATTGGAAATAAAGAATTATCTACTATACAGAAAGAAATAAGAGATGTTCTCAGACAAATTTGTTCCACAGTTAGTTTTTTACCCTTACTTGATTGTCCATGTGCATTTGATTTACAAATTTATACTAAACCTGATGTGGATATACCTCAAGAATGGGCTGAAACAGCTCCAAGTTACATAGCAAATTCTCAAGAATTGCAATTAAGATCATTTTCCACATCATTGCATAGAATGGATACAGTCGTTAGTTATAAAGCAGATTTTTGAAAAGTATTGTATGGAAGAATGTAAATCAATAGTTATTTTTATTTTAAGTAAGTATATTTTTTAATTTAAGTCAATAAATGTATGTATATGTTTTTATGTGTAGTGATAAATGACTACTATTGTTAAAAGTCATGTGTATTATATTTACTATTATATTTAAAATATTAAATTATGTTCACTAATGTTTTAACTTGTTTGTTTATTTTATAATAATAGAAAAGTAATTTTGTAATGGTTTATTACTGTTATAATTATTTTTATATGTTTACCTCTTTTAACATAACAAAAAATCTAGTATCATTTTTATCAGTAGTAAATTTTACTTAACTCTAAATTATTACATTTGATTTCTATAGAAATCATTAACTTATGTTTTTATTAATCATGATACCTAAACTATATTTTTTTAAAATAAAAATAATGCAAGGAATTATAAAATGTGATATGAATCATGATTGAATAATAACTATATTATTTTTCAATTATCCCTGTTTTACAAAGTTATGATCTTAATTGTTTTTTTTTTACTAATTTATTTTTTTATATACTATTTAATGAAAATTAACATTTTTGGCTTATTGAATTATAAGTTAAGAATAATTATGTATAATAAGTAAAACTTTTTGTTATATTTAAGTGCAACTTTTTTTACTATGAATATAATATTTAGAACAAAAAACTCTTTTCATAAATGAAATTTATTACTATTGTTTCCTAAAAACATGGAATTAAAACTAAAACAGTTATACAGTTTTTTTGATTTTTGAAAACAATGTTAATTTAATTACAGCTTTTTTTGTATGATTCTCTGACTAATCAAACCCAATCTCATTATTTGACAAATAGATCAGTATAAATTGTAATTTTTATGTAGCGCTTTGTTAAAGATATTTCCAGATGGATAGTTGTATTGTTAATTTAAGGGATGATAATTGATAGGTGGGCTCATAATACCTATAATGTATAGAATTGTTCAGCTATATCAAGGGAAACTAATAGATTTATACATGGATTTTCAGCATTTTTCTAAGCCTAGAAATATTTCCAATCTGTCGTCGAAGATGAAAGCTATTTACAATAGATATATATTACGACTGAATATAATAATCTACAATTTCAAAGTTCAATAGTATGGAAATCAGCTTCTGATTGTTCACCTTCTCCATCAGTCATTTGATTTGTTATATTTGTACTTAATCTTGTATAATTAGTTTCTTCGACTAATTTTTCATCTTTATAAAATGACAGAACCACCAAATACTGATAAATCAATAATGCTGTTAAAATACATTAAAATTTTACCATTAATATTTGTAAATAAATGAGTTAAGATTTTGGAAAATTAGCCCTTTATTCGCAAAAAGCTAGTCAAAAAATTTGTCTTCCAAAATACCAAAATATTTTTTAGTGGTATATAATTAATATTAGCCCTTCCCTATTTAATTACCATATACATTGATAATAAAAATAAGATACTTATTAAATGTCTTAGATTTAGGCAAGTATTCTGACAAAGATTAAGGGGAGGATGAAAATGAAGTTAGATTTTTTGGGTATATGGATAATAAGGATCATGTTCGAATTAGTTAAAATAAGATGAGCTAAGTTTTTATTGTAGGAGTCTTCAACATGATTTAATCCGAAATTTTCTTGGCATTACCCACTATAAAATAAACTACAACATATAATTACCGTCAGTAGCTGTAAATCCCAGTATTAATAGTACTAAATTTTTTATTCTTTCTGCGTGATAGATCAAAATTTCTGTTTCAATTAAAAAAATTGTACCAACTTGGAAACAACTAGTTAGTAGCCAAAAATATATTTTATGCGTTTCATTCTAAAATTAAATAAGCTTTAATGTAATATACTGTATAAACAGCGCATTAAAGTTTCTTATAGCTGAAATAAATAACAATATAATAAATATTAATAATTTAAAACTTATGGTTGAGTATATTATCTCATCTCACGATTACCGTCTACTAACTTAACTTTAATGTTAAGAAAAAAAATTACTACATGGTATAATTTATAACTAAACATTTTGGAAAAAAATACATTTATCCTACTAAAATGTAAATGGAAAAACGACCTAATATTAAATAGTAGCCTATTTAAAAATTTTTACGAAGTGTCCAAATAGTTTTTAGCTCATAGAGTAATGAGAAAATTGACTTTTCCACTAATCCAACTACTATTATTTTATGTCCACGGAGATTTTTTTATTCCCAATACGCTATTAAATAGAATTGTAAAAATATGTATCTTATAAAAATTATCTAAATTACACAAGTACATACTTTTTCTGTTGCTTGTTTAAGTCCAAAGTTAGCAAATGCTAAAGTAACGCCGACACTCGTGAAAACTAAGGTAACATAGTCCAAAAAGTCATCTAGAATTCAGTAATTATTTATAACTAAAATAATATATTAGCTTCGATGCGAAGCGGAGAAGGTATTAATTTTACTATGATGTGTTTTTTTTTTTTTTTATGTCTGTTGCCACTTTTTCTCAGCTCTCACTGGACCGATTTCTTTCAAAAATACGTCAAAAGATCACAAATCGTATCTAGTTGAAGACATTACCCTTAAAAATTGAAAAAAATTCCCTCGTTCCCCGCAAATGGGGGAAATATCCAAAAAAATTACAAATTTAAAAATCGCTAATTTTCGAAATTTTTTCACTTTTTTTTCTTAAAACTTCCATAACTTTTTGAAAAATCAACAAATCAACATAATTTTTTTTTATACTAAAACCTTAGATATTTACCTTTCATTTGATATCATTTTTTTGAAAATCTATCACTTAACCTGCTCATTGGGGGGGATTTAAAATGGCAACTTTTTTACAAAAATTAATTTTTTCAACTTAATTTTTGAAAATGTTCCGGAAAGACTGCGTCCTTTAAACATATATCAAATTAAAGCTTATTTTATGTACTACAAAATGAAAAAAAAAAATTTGTCCCGACACTTTTTTTTCTACATTTAAACGGCTGCCGTAGTTAAAAAAACACTATTTTTGTGTTAAAATTTTCGATTTTCGATTTTAAATTTTCAACTTAAAAATGCTATAACTTTTTGAAAAATGTATATATCAGCACAAATTTTTTTTTTCTAAATACATTATAAGTACATCTTTCATTTGACATACTTTTTATTAAAATTGGACAATTTCCCCTTATATAGGGGGCGTTCAAAACTTAAAATATTGTAAAAAACATAGATCTTTTTCAACTGAACTTTTGAAAATGTTCCGGAAATACTGCGTCCTTTAAACATATATCAAATCAAAGGTTATGTTATATACTATCAAATGAAAAAAAAAAATTTGTCCCGACATCTTATCTTCTATGTGCAAATGGCTGTCGAAAATTTAAAAAAAAATGTAATGTTTGCGATAAAAATTACATTTTATCGGGATGTTTTTTGTACTTAAAACTGCCATAACTTTTTCAAAAATGAACAAATAAAAATAATATTTTTTTGTATTGAAACCTTAGATATTTCCCTTTCATTTGATATAATTTTTTTTGAAAATCTAACACTTATTCTGCTCACTGGGAGGATTTAAAATAGTAACTTTTTTACAAAAAATAACTTTTTCAACTTAATTTTTGAAAATGTTCCGGAAATACTGCGTCCTTTAAACATATATAAAATTAAAGCTTATTTTATGTACTACAAAATGAAAAAAAAAAATTTGTCCCGACGATCTATCTTCTATACGCAAATGGCTACCATATTGAAAAATATACTATTTTTGTATGATAATTATGGGTTTTGTATTTTATTTTAATAGAAGTTGATGTTGCTTTTGCAATTATCCATCAATTTTTTAAAATTAAACACTATCTACAGATTTGCATCGAAGCGTTTCTTATGATAGTGATTTTAATCACTGTCAGATTAAATCTATACTGGACCCTACTATGCAATGTCTCCACTATGCCGCGACCCCACTGTGCTACCGTTTTTTTTTTTATTTTAAATTTAATATAGTGTTGGATTAAAGTATTTTTTCTTATTGAAAAATATTCAATTACTTAAAGTTTTACTTACCATCTAAAAATTTTTCGTGATCCTGATCACTATTAGGTTTAGGATATCCATAATTTATACATCGTTCCCATGTATAAAATATAATATAAATTAGTGACAAAACCTACATTAAAAATAATTAATAGTAATTAAGTATTATTTTAATCATAAGAATTATAATTGAGAATACAGTTTACTGAATTTTTTTTTTTTTAAGTCAAAATGAAATACCGGTATTTTAATTTAGGTTTATTTAGTCTATAACTACACAAAAATAGTAGTTGTTAACTAAAAATATACTTAAAATATTAATTTTAACTAAAGAATTTTAAAAATATTTAATTTATTAAGCCACAAAAATACTAAAAGACCTTAAAATATAATCAAATTTCAAGTTGAATTTATTTTAGCCATCATCACATATTTTTAAATTATACATTAGTAAAAATTATTATTTTGAATGTTAGGACTAATTGATAAGTTGATTATGCTACTAATTTTCAAGTTTTTGAGTTAAATATAATACTTAAATGTTAGTTAACAATTTTCATTTAAAATTATATTATTATACATTGTTTTTACCAAATTAAATAACGATATAAACTTAGTTCCTGTTCTCAAAGGATAACCACAGCAATTTTTGATCATATTTTAAAATTAAAGTTTACTTTTATTAAAAATAAATAAAAATGATTTTACTTATTACATAGACTGTGGATTGTTTAGAATGTTATTACTTTATAGTAATATACTAAGTGTACTATAGACAGTACTATTAGATAACCTGTCTTAGAGATGTAAGACATTTTATTGGTTTAGAAAAATGTATAATTATTTATCACTTTATTATAATGATACAGAGCTATTGATTAAAGAGTTCCGTAATTATACATTACTTTATTTATAAGATTAGTAAGAGAGTAAAAACACTTTACTGAATTACAAGATGTTACCAAAAATTATACTAATGCAAGTTTGTTTGATAATGTCGATATTCTTAATGTAATATACATATATTACATATTATTCTAATAGGAAAAAATAAATAAAAAAAAAGTTTAATATTTTATATCCTAACTGCTGGTCAAATTTATCATTCTGGCTCTCTTTTGCCATTAACAAGTTTAAAATATTTTTAGACATGTTTTTTGCATTTGTTTTAAGTTGAATAAGAATACATAAAAAATACAATTTGATGTAATCTATTTGTTGGGAATAAAATTTAGATTATACATAACAATAATAATCTAAATTATAATAATCAAAATTTCATTTACATTTAATCAAATTGTGTTTTTGACGTATTCCTAATTAGTTATAATTAATATCTTAAAATTAAAGAAAAAATATCATAATTTTAAGCCTATAATATCAAATTATTAATTTGAAATATAAAAACAAACTATTTAATTTAATAGTTTATTTCTTTGATTAACTTGTTTAATAAAAAAATCTTGCCTGGGGAAAGATGATGAATTAAATTTTTTTTCTAATTTATTAATAATTCTTGATATAATTAATAATAATTAATTAGATTTTTACCAATTAGTCAAAATATATCATGTAGTATTTCTACTAAATTAAAAGTTTAAAAGTCCAGGCATTTTTATATAGTGATCAAAAAATATCGGAAAAAGTAAAATCCCAGCTTAGTTGGGTCGCGACATAATAAGTTGAGAAGGTTAAGTTTTCGTTCAAAAAATGCTATTTTAATTCCCTCTTGTGGTTAGATAAAGAGTCTACATTTCGAAAAATTTATAAAAACAAAAAAAAATACTTACGATATTTATAAAAAAAAGTTGTTTTGATTCATCTATTTTTCAAAAAAATATTACAGTTTTAGGTAATACAAGTTTAAAAAACCCAGCACAGGGGGGTCGCGGCACAGTGGTGACGTGGCATAAATGGATCAAGTATAATGATATCCGCAAGTGATTAAAATCACTATACAAAAAAAATGCTTCGATGCAAATCTTTAGATAGTGTTTAATTTAAAAAAAATGTTGGATTATTCCAAAAGCTACATGATCTGTTAGTTCATTATTAATACCCTAATTAAGATAAAGTATGTCGAATGAAAAAGGAATTATTAAAAAATATTATTTCTCATAAAAAAATAATGTTGATCCATAAACTTTTCAATATGTCATAGCATAATAAAATTAAAAATGTAAAATACAAAATCGAAAATTTTAACACAATAATAGCATTTGGTAGCCATTTTCACCATGAAGATAGGATAAAGTCCAAAATTTTTTTTTTTTATAAAAAAGTATATTACATTAGCTTTAATTTAAGATATATATAAAAGTGTCAGACCTTCCGGAACACTTTCAAAAGTTAAGTTGAAAAAATTAATTTTTTGTAAAAAAGTTGTCATTTTAAATCCCCCCCTGTGGGCAGGTTAAGTGTCAATATAAAAAAAAAATATACCACATGATAGGTAAAGACATCAAGCATCTATATAAAAAAAAATTATATTGATATGTTCATTTTTGAAAAAGTTACGGCAGTTTTTAGTAAAAAAAATTGAAAAAATTTCGAAAATTAGCGATTTTTAAATTTGTAATTTTTTTGGAGGTTTCCCCCATTTACGGGGAACGAGGGAAATTTTTNTGTTTTCCCCATTTACGGGGAACGAGGGAATTTTTGAGGGTAATGTCTTCGACTAGATACAATTTGTGATCTTTTGACGTATCATTGAAAGAAATCCGTTCGGTGAGAGCTGAGAAAAAGTGGTAACAGACNTGTGATCTTTTGACGTATCATTGAAAGAAATCGGTTCGATGAGAGCTGAGAAAAAGTGGTAACAGACACAAAAAAAAAAAAAAAAACACATCTTAGTAAATCCAATACCTTCTCCGCTTCGCATCGAAGCTAAAATGAAAAAAATTACCGGTTTTAAAAATCGTGATATTTGGGTTTTTTTTTCATTTTAAATAACCACGGAACTTTTTTAAAATTTTTTAGGATAACGTTTTCAAGAGATACAAATTATTTGACATAACGTTAAAAAAATCATTACTGTGACCTAAGATAAAATAGTGAAAGACATACAAAAAAATAAAACACTTCATGATTACATTAGACAAATTAGACATTAGACAATGAGGCGGGGTGCCTCATTTAACACATTGACGGACATTACTGCTATAGAAGTAATATGATTATTTTGATGTCGGGTGACATTACTATTATAGCAGTAATAAGAAAAAATTGTATCATAATATTATAGCTACAGCAGTAATATTTTCAATGGTACTAAATGTTTTAACTGTCATATTACGTTGAAATGATTACCATAATAATTAGGGTAATCATTTATATTTATATTATAAATGACCGTCAATGTGTTAATTATTTAGCATAGGTACCTTAAATTCTTAATATACATTAATAATTTTTAATCGTTTTATAAAATCAATACTTTTGACTTGTATAAATATGTAATATATATTTTAAATTAACACGGAACATAACTCAACAAATGTTTTTCATATCTAATACAATTTAGTAATATCCAGTTGAAATACATTGGTTTTAAATTATAAAACTTATAAACAGCATTTAAGAGCTCTGTCGTATTTGTTCAATGACACGCGGTATGTATTCAACATTGCCTTGGGAATTATTTTCTTCTGTAGCTTCAGTATTTTCTATTTCTGATTTTACTCTATTTGTAGATGACATTTTATTTTTTGGTACATACTTCCATCGCAGTTGAATGATATCATTAGCAGCAGCAAACTTTTCTTGTATGTAATATGAATGTACGACATATAACTCTAAAGTCCAAATTACTAGAGCTATCCATTCCTGTAACGTATTAATACTGTAAAATTAAAACAGTAACAGACATAACATTAGATCTGACTTATTACTAAATATGAATACTTCTAAAAAAAAAAAAAAAAAA